TGGAGATAGACGGATTTCGTCGGAAATGGGAACATATTTCGTCAGAGATGGGGACGGATGTCACCGTAGAGAGTGAGAGATGAAAATGGGTCTGAGTTGTGCTTTCGGGTTATAGGTTAGAGATGATTTGCGATAATACTGTTTATATTTGTGTTGCGAAATTAATATTATGTTTCGCGTAAAAACATTTGACTTTCGCGTTGCGAATTTGACTTCTATATTGCGAATTTGACTATCGCGTTGCGAATTTGGAAACTGAGTTGCGAAATTGGAATTCGTGTTGCGAATTTGAGATCGCATTGCGAATTTGTTGGTCATTTTGGCAAATCCAAAAAAAGTTGGTTAAATTCATTTATTATAAGATATTTTTGGTCACTGAGGTTATTTTCTCTTTTTACTAACATATAATTTCAATATACTAAATGGAATTAATGGTCTAGTGTCCAAAATAACAAATATAGAAATAAAAAATGATCATAACGTAACTTTTTCAAAATTAGTGACTAAAATAAGACAGATCTAAAACTATACATATCACCAGTGTAGTTTACCTAACGAAAAGAATGGAAAGCATGCATCTTTTGGCTTTAAATGAGAGGAAATCGAGAGAAGGTCGAGGGGGAGATATGGCCCTAACAACTAGGGTCTAATCAAACATTAGGTGGCTAGTATTGGCTTCATTATTTAATTACTTAATTAAATGATTATATATATTTATATGTTTTGATTGGCAAACACACACACACACACAGTAGTTGTCTCTCCTTTCGTACATCAAGACTTTCATACCGGGGATTCTCTCCTCTGCACTCGTGAGTTAAGCCATTGTTGTCCAAGGTTTCTTCTTCTCTCTGTCTTACAACATTTGTTTTTCATTTATTCATGTTTGTATCCACAAAAAATATTTATTTATTAAGCAAAGAAAATAGGACACATTAAAGACGTGAGAGGCAACACCAAAAATAATTGAGAGTTTTGTTTGTTGCCCATTGCATTTGGTCAGAAATTTGGCAACTTCGTGTTTGTCATTATATTTCCGATGGCATTTGGCAAGCCACATGATTTTAGAGCAACATATCTTGTTTTTTTCTCATACAGATGAATATAATTTAGAATAATGCAGCCTACTTTTAGGTTTTCAGAAACATATTAACTTGATAATATATAATTTGATAAAAATGATTAACATATTAGACTATCGTTAATTAAAAATAATATACATATCTTGTTTTTTTTAAGCGTTCATAATTCATAAAATATGATTCCAATAACAATAAATTTGGCATAATTATATCGCAAAAATAATTTAAAAAGAACATGCTATAGAAAATATAAGTAATCTTGAAGAGAGAAGTCAATAGCATGAAAATGATTGTTTCTGTGTCTTGAATCTGGCGATTAGCTTTTGGGAATTCTCATTCTCTCTCCAAGTCTCCTGGCACAAAGCTTGAGGTGACAATGAAATAGAGATAAACCAAGCAAAACTTGGGTGTTCAAATCTATCATTTGATATTTAAAAAAATAGCTTTGTTTTCTTTCTCCCCTTGTCCTACAATTCGTCACTAAATAGGTCATGTTTGCTGTTCATCCTATTATTGGAGAGAAAATTTGTTAGCCAAATCATTTCGTGTAGTGTCCTCAAAATTAAAGCTTTACCGCAATTAATTGAAAGAGAAAACGGATAAGATGATTATTTATTTGACAGTGCTAGAATGTGGTTTGGACAAAAAAAACCCTCTTATAACTGAGTAGTTAATAAAGAAATCTAATAATTAAGCCCGTTAATAATTATGAGATTATTATTATTCTTTGAATTTTTTAATTTGAGATTGTATGATTGCTATCACAGGATTGATAGAAGTATGACAGTATATTCTTGTACCAATGTTGATGTAGAAATAGAAAATAAAATCTTCATTTTCTTCTCCCGTTAGTGTTTGAATTAAGGAATGTGAGATTCTTATGAGAATGAAATTCACATTTTCATGGGAAAGGAATCCAAATTCTCATGTTTGATTGGTCGGGAATCTCATTCTCGGTAATGTTTTATTAACAATAGTAGATTTTTTTGGGTATATTACCAGGAATGTCATTACCTCCCTTTCCTTAGGTATTGTTGGATTACCAACGTTTTGGACTAAAATGATCTTAATTTTTTTTTTCTTTCAAAAATATCCTTATTATGTCATTGAAAAATAAAAATTCTACAAAGATTAAATTATAAATTTATCCTTAAACTATTTTAGATTTACAAAAAAAAATCTATAATTAAAATTTTATATGAAGTTCAGGGGTTAAAAATAAAATTTTACCCTTTCATTAAACTTTTTTATATTTTCAATTTTGTAAAAAAGAATATATATAATTTTTATGAATTTAAATTTTTTAAAGAAAATATATAAATATTTTCTAACTTGTTAAAAAATAAAAATATAATAAGGATAATTTGGTCAAATATACATTCCGATAATCTTTTATTCCTTTAACCAAACACGGTAATCTTACATTCCTGTTAAACCAACAAAACACAAAATACAACATTTCCAGTAATCCTATTCCCACTGATAATCTTACATTCCGTGAACCAAACACACCTTTATATTATTATCCAAACCCTTTTCATCGGGGCAGCATGATCTTTTAGGGGGTGTTTGGTTGGCCGGGAATCTCATTCCCGGTAATGTTTTATTACCAATAGTAGATTTTTTGGGGTATATTACTGGGAATGTCATTACCTCCCTTCCCTTAGGTATTGTAACATTACCGGCGTTTTGGACTAAAATGCCCTTAAATTTTTATTTTTTTTTTCAAAAATATCATTCTTCTGTCATTGAATAATAAAAATTCTACGAAGGTTAAATTACAAATTTATCCTTAAATTATTTTAGATTTACAAAAAAAATCTATAATTAAAATTTTATATGAAGTTTAGGGGTTAAATTTTTTTTACCCTTTCATTAAACATTTTTTATATTTTTAATTTTGTAAAAAAATTATATAAATATTATGAATTTAATTTTTTAAAGAAAATATATAAATATTTTACAATTTGTAATATTATACAAATATATAATAAGGACAATTTGGTCAAATATACATTCCAATAATCTTTTATTCCTTTAACCAAACACGGTAATCTTACATTCCTCCTAAACCAACCAAACACAAAATACAACATTCCCAGTAATCTTATTCCCTGGTAATCTTTTATTCCCACTGGTAATCTTACATTCCGTGAACCAAACGCACCCTTATTATCAAAGTGGCAATGGCAATAACATAATCCAAAAGTCCAAATCAAAATCACGAGGTTGAAAACACCAAAGAGAGATGAAATATTGAAAATGGTGTGGTTTCAACCCAGCCCCATTTGCCATTACCAGACAATGACACTTGCTTTTGGAAGCTTCTCAGCAAAAAAAAAAAAAGCATCAGCTTTTTGGCCCGCTGCTCATCTTCATTCATGCCCCTCCCCCGTATCATCTCTCTTCTCTTCCCATTTATTTTCATCAATGTCACACCGTACAATGCCGTAATTTTTATCGGAGTTCATGAACAATGTCGGTCCCGTGACGTTTTAGTTCTCAAAGATAAATTATCGAGACTAGTTCATCAAATTCAAAACCCAGAATCCGAGTTGAGTTCCCCCTTTTTTTCTTTTCATTGGATGATTATCTCGTTTGCGTTATTTTCCAGCAACAACCCCCAAAACCCGGGATTTTGCACCACCACTCAAAAACCAGAAACAGATAAACAAGAGATTAAACAAAGCTACACTCTTTCATCACGTTTGCCAATTGCCACTTTTGTCAAACATTTACTAAACATAATCAGCTTCAAACACCAAACCCAAGAGAAAACATAATCTGGTTTATGAGTGTGTTCTTTTTGGTTAGCTGAAAATGAAACCAGCCAATCTGTTTAAACCAGTTGAGGTTTCTTTGGTAGCTCAGTAGTAGGCTCCCCTAGACTCTGTAATTATATAGTTATTATTATTTTAGCCATTTTTTTGGGGGGACCCCTTTGCTCTTAAATGAGCTGAGCTGCTGTTGTTGAGCCTATTACTATTGTTTTTGTTGCTGAGCTGCTCTCAAAATTTTCATCCTAATTAATCAAGATAACAGAACCAACTGTACTACAGCTTTAAATTTAAAAGCTTTCTTTTTATTTAAAAAAACTTTTTTCTCTTCTTCTCAGTACTAAAAAGCATAATTGTCAGTTTTCTTTCCCACCTTCAGAATTTTGCTGTGATGGGGTGGGTACTAAGAATGGTTTAATTACCTTTAGTATTGCATTTCCAATTCTCCTAGAGTTTCCATATTTTTTTCATGTAGAAAAGCCGGTCATTTGATCTTTGTGGGATTTTAATCGATTTTCACCTATTTAGTTGCGCCATTAATATTGGCTAACTTGTTGATTTTTACAGATATCAGTAGATATAATCATCACCATCATTACCAACACAAATAGGAGAGAAATTGCAGAAAGCACAAGTGTAGGTTCTATCGTTTACCGGGCTGCGCCGCTTCTTCTTGTCGCTCGTGCGTGTCCAAAAATTCTAAATCTCGAGGTCCCAAATGGCGAACAACACTCTCTCCCTATAAGCCATTTTGGTTTTGGATTTCTGGGTTTTTTCCCTTTCTTCTCATATTCGTCGAAGCGAGTCCCTTGAAGAAAAGCTTTTCCAGGTTTAGCTTTCAGTGTTCTTTAAGGCTGAAAAATCGAGTTTTGATGTGTGCACTGAACCCAAGGTACAAGTTTTGAAACCATTCAAGCATTGATCTTTGTTTTTAACTAGTTGATTATTTCCAGTTTGGCTTCAAGCCCTTTGGTTTACATAATCAATTGAGTAAAAACTCTGATTCTAAGGCAATCTAAAGGGTTCTAGGGAAGTGTTCTTGGGATTGTTTAGAGGAATGTATTGAAAGACTTGGTTTTGATGTGTAAAGCTGGTCTTAGTTACAAGTCATGCTGAGATCTGAAGAGGGTAAGATTGATGAGTTCTTCGATTCTTCGGATATCTTGTCTGTCGAGGGCCGGTTTTAGCCAAAGTAGGATCAGAGTGTGGGAAATTAGAGTATGGAATTTGGATGGATGAACCTCGGAGTGTTGAGGAACGACGCCAAAGATTTCTTCATGGAATTGATCTTGTTCATCTTTCCAAGTCTTCAAGGATGAAAGGTTTGGAGAGGATCACAGAATGCAGTGATGCCGTCTCGAATTCTTCATTTTCGCCTATCGGGAACGACGAAGAAACCATTGCTGGCTGCGATAGGGAAATGAGTTGTGAAGCCAATTTGTTGGTTGATGAATCAGAGCAAGAACAGAAGGTAATGGAAACTCAACAACACTTTGATGAATCTGAAAATGGTGAAGTTAATTCGAAGAAGTTCAAGAAATGGTGGAAATACTTTTCAAGCATGCAGAAAGGAGAAGGCAGGCGTTCATCTAACGTAATTGAACCAAGCTTAAAAGTGCATAAAACGAACAGAATGATGGTTCAGTCCAACAAGAAAGGATGCATGGAGTTTTCAGAGCTTTATATGGGACAAGAAATACAGGCTCACAGGGGCTACATATGGACTATGAAGTTTAGCCCCGACGGTCAATATTTGGCTACCTGTGGCGAAGACGGGGTAGTCCGAATATGGTGTGTAACATCTATTGATGCCTTTAGTAAACCTTTGATGGCGGAGCGCGGTTTAGGTAGATCTATGGGTTTCGGCAGAGAAAAGTCGGCCCACACTCAAGTTGTTATTCCTGATGAGATTTTTTGGATCAAGGAGTCGCCAATTCATGAGTTTCATGGCCATTCCAACGATGTTTTAGATGTTGCATGGTCCAATTCAAATGTGAGTAAATGCAGAAACTTAGCAACTCGGTTTTAGACATGTTTTTCATATGCCTGAATCGATTTTTTGGTTGCAGTTCCTTGTTTCTTCTTCCATGGATAAGACGGTTCGTCTATGGAAAGTTGGCTGCGATCGATGTCTAAATGTTTTTCATCATAACAATTATGGTAACTACGAAATGACTAGATCCTATTTCGTTACTTTGGAATGTGTTTTGTCATGGTCTGACCATGTTCTTTGTATGCAAACAGTCACTTGTATCCAGTTCAATCCAATCGATAACAATTACTTCATTAGTGGCTCTATAGATGCAAAAGTTAGGATTTGGGGAGTGTTGGAGAAAAGAGTTGTTCACTGGGTCGATGTACGCAGCATTATAACTGCTATATGTTACCGGCCAGACGGAAAGGTTTGGTTCTAAACACTTGAATCAATATTCTTCTGCTAAAATAGTTGTTTTCGATTTCATCACTTTTATCGACCGAAATCGTTCCATTCCCCTTCGTTCTAGCAGGAATTTATTGTCGGTTCCATTAGAGGCACTTGCCATTTTTATGAGGTATCAGGTAATATATTTCTTCCATGTTCCAAGTTTGATTCTTCTGATTTAATTTAGTTGTTTGCCTTTCCTTTTCATTCGACCTGATTATTTTCGATTTTGTGTTCCCCCGTGCTATAGGCGACAACATTAATTTGGAGGCCGAGGTTCAAATTCCCGGCAGAAAGAAAACTTTGGGCAACAAGATAACAAATATTCAGGTTTTGCACTGAAGTTCTAGATGCTAGTATATGTTGTTTGCAGTAATATTTTCATTCATTACTTATGATTTTGGTTCCATCTTGCAGTTCTCCCAGGATGAACCTCACAAAGTTATGGTAGCGTCAAAAGATTCCAAACTCCGAATACTTGACGGCGTAGATATTGTTCGTAAATTTAAAGGTAACCTTTCTGTATTCGATAACTCGGAATTCAGTTTATATGGTTCCTGCAGTTTGTGTTTGCTCTGTTCTTCCATCTGCACTTTGAATAGGCTATGGTAGTTCATTTGATTAAATATTTTCCTTAAATGGTGCAGGATTACCGAAGTCCGGAAGTCAGATGTCGGCATCTTTCACGTCGACAGGGAGACATATAATTTCGGTTGGAGAAGACTGTCATGTTTACGTCTGGAACTACAATGACATGTGCCCCCGAACATCGAAACACACGAAATCTGTTTCGTCTTGCGAGCACTTCTTCTGTGAAGATGTGTCCGTTGCAATACCTTGGTTAGGCCAGCGGTTGGATCGGAGTCACTTGGACTGCTATCCAAGAGAGGATCGGATAGAGAGTGCTTCTCGAATCAGAGATACGCAACGATTCTTTCTTGGTAACTGGTTCTCCATTGACAGCTCCTTCAAGGGCTCTGCAACATGGCCCGAAGAAAAGCTTCCGTTATGGGATACATCATTTGCGGAAGATGAATTATATGCATATAATCACCAGCAACTCCGTCAAAACAGCGAGTATCACACGTCCCTACCGGAAACATGGGGGCTCGTTATAGTTTCAGGCAGTCGGAATGGAACAATCAGGACGATCCAGAACTATGGATTGCCTGCTACTCTATAGGAGGTCGACTTCATTCAACTTATTTGTAAATTTTTCCTGGTTGGTATTCAACCTATTACCACTCACATTTCGGTGAAGGTGTCAAACGATTTTCCTTTGTGAAAAATACAAAAATTAAATTTTCCCAAAACCTAACAGGGTAAAACTATACAAATAGTCTGTTTGAATAAATTTTTGTTCTCTCCCATTGAATTTTCATAAGTAACATATTAGTAGCTAACACTATCGATTTATAACAAAATTATCACTTTACCGTCATTCTGTTAAATTAATTGACGTGACAACATTAATAAAAATATTAATATGTAATTTTATCCCTAAACTACTGTTAAAATATAAAATAAATACTTTAACAATAATTTAATATCAAATTTATTGATGAGAATTTAATATTGTATATATTTCTTGTTATTTACTCTTTATTTTCAACTGTATATTACTGATTTATCTTTGTTTTGAGTTTATTTTGGACAAGAGCTTCATCGGATTAATTAGCCCAAAAATTAGCCAGTCCAGTCAATATTTTTCAGAAGACAAGCAGAATTATTTTGAATATTTAATTTGGAATTGGCATGAGACAAGGTTATCCAAAAGATAAGCATAATTCAACCAGAATTACAAAACTTAAAATATTTATTTTTATCTTTTGTGATAAATCTTTAAAATCTAAGATTTTTAGTTTGATTATTTTATTATTATTATTATTATTATTATGTTTTTAAGAATTAATTATTTACTTAAAACTATCGGTAGAATTTTAGTTTGATTATATCATTATCTTTTATTTTGTTCAACATTTGAAAAACATATTGAAATTTATTTTTTTCTTGGTTCATTATTGAAGTCATGTTTTTCTTTTATCTCCATTTTTCTTTTTCTTTTTTTTCTTTCATTATTTTCTTTATGTTTTTTAAACTCTCACTTAGCCAAAGGTTTTTGCGAAATCCAATTCTAATAGTAAGAATTACATATTCAATTCAAAAGGTGCATGTTGATTTGAATAATGTTTTGCTTGAAGTTTGGAAGTCGTACCAGTTAGTAGTAATTCGACTTTCTGTGAATAAACTTAGTGGCGATTCGTTAAGAGGAATCAAGATCGAGTTCGATTCTCAGTGAGACGCTATAACTCGAGTCAGGCTTTTCTAGAACTTAAAGCTATTTTAGATCTAGTAATCTAACGGCGATAAACGTGACTAGACCAACAAGAATTGGATTTCGGATATAGACTTGGAAATTTCGGTTAACCGGAGAGAAGAGTTAGCCGCAGGAGTTGGATCATATTGATTGTAACAGACGTATATCACAAAGGGAAAATTTTATTTTGATGATCGATCGAAATTGAGGCTAAGCAAAACCTGAAGCTACATAATCTCTATTGAATTTTTCTACTTTATTTATTTTCTCATTATTTTTTTTATTATTTGTTTGTTTTCATTAATTTTAAAATTCCCTCATTTATTTTTTGCAATTGATTCAATCCGGGAGAAACGGTATTATCAAACTTCTTTAATCTCTCTGGATCGATCCTAATTTTCTATATTACTTTATGTATTTATTTGATAATTAAAAATCATTTTTATTTCTAATATCCTTTGTATTACAAATATATAAGATTCATCACATATGTCATCTCTGTTTTGAAAACTGGACCGGACCGGCCGGTTCAATCGGGAACCATTGCTTAGTCCGGTTCAATCTAAACCGATTGAACCGCTATTAGTGAACCGACCAGAACCGTTGAACCGTTCGAACCGGACCGGCTGAAAATCGGAAAAACGGGAAAAAACCAGAAAAAACCTGGAAAAACCGAGATTTTTGTTTTTTTTTTTAAATAAACCAAATAACGTCATTTGTTAAACGAGCCAAGTCGAACTCGAGTATTGCTGAGCTCGACTCGAACTTGAAAACTTTAAAAGTAAGTTCAACTCAACTCAAACTCACAAGCTAAAAATTATCAAGTTCAACTCAAACTCGAAATATAATATTGAAACTTGAACTCAAAAAAAAATTAGAAACTCGATTGAAGTCTAAAATTCGAGCTTGATTGAAGTGAAAGAATGGTTTACTCAATGCTCACCAAAAGGCTCCATGATTTTGAATGTAAAATTACCTCTATTATTTATAGAAGTTAGTTGTGATGCGCTTCTATGTTTTTTAGCAATGTGAGATTGTTTTGTTCTCATATTTTTACTCTTTAGACTTTTGGGATGCTCTTCTATGTTTCTTAGCTATGTGGGATTGTTTTTTTAAAAAAAATAAACCAAACAATATCATTTTGTTATGATTTTTTTAACCCCAAATTTATTTTTTAATTATAGTTATATAATTATATTTATTATTTAATATGTTTTACCTTAAATATTATGTTGTAGTTAATTTAAATCATTTTGTTTCACTTGATTTTATGGTTTTTAACTTATATATGTTATGACTTGCTTTGAATATGACTTGTAATATAAAAAATTATTTTTTATTAAATATTTTTGGTATTTTTATTTAATTTTTTAAATAATTATGACGTCGTCCGGTTCTTTCGACCGGTCAGACCGATTCGACCGGTTGAACCAGTGAACCGGTAGCATGACCGGTTCGCTAACCGATCCGGTTCTGAAAACCATGTATGTCATCAATAAAAACAATTGAATGAGCCGTCCTATATGCTTTTGAGAAGAGTTCCATAATATTGTCCTCTGACGCACCTAATATACATAACTATCAACAAACATCTCGGATCACGGTTAATAAAATTTTCATTTATCAAACTCTATACAACAAACCCATGATAATGCTATGAATTCATGAAGCCTCGATAATCATATTCAGTAGGAAGAGTCAAAGAAAGAAAAACAGGAGATGAATACCCCAAACCACCTCTGTAGCTGAAATCTGATAGAAAAAACACCAGTTTCATTGACAACTGCGTGAGCTAATTTGGTCTAACTTTATTTTGATGATTTAATTTTAAAAGGAATAGAAGGGGTTTAGGTTAAATTTGTTAAGTATGAGTGTTTTTCAACAAAATGAAGATTATGTTCATATTTATAAGGTCAAAAAAGAGTGGACTAGAAATATTAGGGTTCAAAGGTCAGCGACAACTGATGGTGACTGACGATGAAGGTGGTGGGTACTGACCGAGAGTTTAAAATTTTGGTCGAATTCAAAGATCAAATTAACATTGCATACAAAATTTAAGGCCAATGATATTTCATATAAAGTTTAAGGTTAATGATCTTTTATCTAAAACTTAGGGGTCAAATTAAAATTTTATCCTTTTGCTAACGTATTACATCACAAAACTTACATGAATTAACGGTTTAATAACAAAATGTAACAATCGATAAATAAGTAACTAAAATTTAATAAATCGATAATATAAATAACTTAATTATAACTTTCTCAAAGTCAATAATAAAAATTGAACAAAATTAAAACTAAATGATAATACTGATAATTTAATTTTAATTGTATGAGAGCCTTTGCAGGGGGCGTGGACATTGGATTGTAGTTGGTGTCTTGGCGATAGCTCGCCGGCGGGAAAGTGAGGGTCCATGATTGACAATGAGCAGTCAAATAAGGTCCTTAATTAATGAATATTATTTTATTATTTAAATTTTATTCAACTCTTCGGAGTTTAGTTTTCGAAAATTAGATCAAATTTAATATATTTATTTGATGGATATTTGTATAAACCGAGTGAGCTCAATGATAAATAATTGTTGTTATTCTTTGAGATCCTAACTTCAAGCGTAAAAACGTTAGGGTGTGAGCGTTCAATGTCAAATGATCGAAAGTTATATTTGATTAGATACTAAGTTATACTTACTTCAGATTAATAAAAAAAGAGTGTATGTTTAATTTAATTATAATATTTATAATATTATGATATTCATTTTTTTATAATTTAATTTACATGTGGAAGTAAATTTTATAATATTATTAATAACTTAAATATCATCTAGGATTTTGTGATAATTTTTCAATGTTTTTTTAAAACGATTTTTCTTAGCATTTAAGGTTTTCTCTCCTAAAATTGAGATTAGATTTATATTTTATACATTAAAAAGTTAATTTTATTTGTTTTATTAGTAAAATGGATGATGTTATTTATGAATTTTTTCTTATAATAATAGAATCTGTTATTTCTTTTGATGGTATATAAATTTGATTTGAGTTTAATTAATATCAAATGTTTATGTTGTTTGTTTGATCTTAATTTCACTTATATATAAAACAATAAGATTAGTTAAGGATTTTGAAAATACTTTAAGATTAATGCTTTTGAATCAATCTTAATGTACTTTTCCCTCATGATCGATCCTTTTTGATCGATGGGAATAGGAATGACTGTTTTATTATTGGTTAGATTTGATCCGATAAATCCTGTTAATTTTTAATTTTGTTGTTAACTGATTTAAACAAAAACTATTTTAAGTAAAATTTTAACCTAAAAATAACTATCTAAGATTCAACCATGTTTTGTGTCATTGTGATGTTGTATGTCAAGTCTGGCAGCGATGGTGCAGTTTGTGGAAATTGAACATTATTTTTCCTATGAATGTTAAAGAGTTATTAGAGGTCTGGTTCTCTCAGAATATCAGTAGGAAAGTCCGTGAATTATGGTATCTTGGTTTCTTTAGTCTGATTTGGAGAATATGGTTGTGCAGAAACAAATTAAGGTTTAATGGATGTTCTTTTTCGGTTGATCAGATTTTTAATGTTGCCTTGATTCAGATCGGGGTTTGGGCTAATTACTTAGGCCGGTGCTGATCCCTTATGCTCAAGATTTTGTTCGAAGTCCGGAGTCCATTATTTTTAGTGGTGGTTGATTATGAGGCTTAGTCGAAGGGTGGTGGTGTCAAGATTATTGTATTAGGTTGGCAATTTTATTGTTGTCGGCTGCAGCTGTCTGTTTATCCTTTATGGGTCTCTGCTTCATTATATTTGGTTTTGATTTCTGTTTTCTAGTTTTCCTGGAGGAAGGTAGTTAGCATTGTAGTCCCCTACTGCTATCCTGAATGTCAATTGGTATTTTTCATAGGTTTTAAGCCGAA